ATACAAAATGTAGATTACTGAATTGTGTGCCAGTACAATCTCCAATCAACTGTTATCAGAACAGCAGAATTATACTCATATTGAAACTAATTTTTTGTTTAAAAAAACGTACACGTTCTTTGGCTAAATGGACATTGATAGGAAGCAGACATTGGAGAGAAATGTGTTCTGCTTCCTTTTAAAAGTATGCTCAATTTACAACCACCAAAACACATTTCATATTTCCTACTTATAAGTTATAGGGCATCTTCATGAAGGAGGGAGGCCCTTAAAGTGCCTACAAAGCAATTGGGGAGGACAATGGGTGCCATCCCTGGGAAGATGTGCTATGCAAGGCAGAGCAAGGTGGATGGGAGATGGAGACATAAGTTGCAAGATTTCCAGTTACTTTGTGGAGAAGATTTTCCCAAGGAGCTGTGACCAGCAAGCAAATTGGTGTGCCTCCATTTCTTCAGGATGCTTGCAAAACTAAAGTAGTTTACAACTCCAGCTTCCCAGAGGGGGAAAAAAAAAACATCAGGGATCTTCTCACTTCTAGAAAAAAAAAAGGACAGGCCCTTCACTGCCTCCCCTCCCCTCATCCAGCATCGCCTCTGAGTGGAAAAGGAAAAAAAAAAGGGGGGGGGGAGGAAAAAAGCAGGGGGAATTTTATTTTAATCGCCAGAATCACAACAATTCAAACCAAAGGGGGTAACACAGCTGAATCCATATGTATTTTCTGTTCTATGAACGTATCGGTATAAATTTTAGGGTTTGATTTTTATTTGGAGAGAGATAGAAGGAATTTGCTTAGGGCAATTAAAACTGTTTGGAATTCTTAGCTTTCTTCAATGCCGTAAAGGTTTCCTCTGCTGATTTCCATGTTTTTTGGAAGTATTTAGAAACAATGGAAACACCAATTAGAGTGTTATTTACATAAATGATTAGAAATACATGCAAATGCTGGACACTATGATTCTCATTTTATACTTCTGTTTGTTTGTTTGTATAATTCACAAAGTTGTCACTTACCAAGAATTGCTTCAATTAAGTAACACAATACTAAGCTTTAATATTTAAGATTGCATTTTTACCCACCATCATTTCGTTAGTTTCTAAATATTGTTACAGGAAGGCGATACCTCCATATTAAGAAAACTCAGGCTGCAAGTTTATGCATATTTACCTAGAGTATGCCCCAATGATTTCAGTATTATTTCTGAGACGACACAGACAGAATTGCACTAATAGGATCACAATTTTAAGTGAACTCAATAGAAAAGACAGAAGCAAGGATGTCTATGTCAGGCTTTATGTTAATATATTTTAATAGATTTTTAAATCTTGTTTGCAAAAGAGATTTAGACTATAACATACTCTGCATAATGCAAACTTTATTATTGCATTTTCTTTAAATATTGTTTGATGCTTGTAGCCCACTTTATACTCTTAGTCAAAGAGCAATTTTGAACCCTTTTCGAGATTTATCACTGAAACTTAACTTCTTCCCAAATCTCATGAAATTATTTTTAAACACAAAAATAATCCTATGTGGATAATATTTGCTGAAGAAAAATGTCTACCTATGGAGAGAAGATATTGTAAACATTGTTACAGTAGGGGAGGAAGATACTCATAACTTTCAAAAATAGCAACAGAAAGGTCTAGAAACCTTTTAAAAGAAATCAGTGGTTGTGCTAAAATCTACATAAGTGGAATAGCAGTCATTCTTTAGAATAGAAATCTGAGGTATGAAAGAAAAGAAAAGAAAGAAAGGAGGAAGGAAGAAAAAGTGTACAAATTTATGATTAATCTCTGCAAGATTTGTTCAGTACTACCACAACACTAATTTCATTCTAAAAAGGGGGACATGTACTTCCAAATCATGAATAAAAATTTAGGATGCTCTAGTGAGAAATGTTGTTGTGCATCCTCGTTGTAATATACGTGATGTTCAGCATTACTTAACTTGCATTAGTTTAGAGGTAAAAATGACAACATTAAGCTCAACTACCAGTTATGGTACAAAGGAAAACTCATTTTCTTCAGAGTATGTTTCAACACAAGTTGTTCCTAAACACAAGAATAAAAATGATTGCAAAAGGAATAGATAGATGCACAGACAGAAGTATGACCAAAAATTCCAAAATCTTCATCTCCTTTCTCATTCAATGTATTGCCAGACATTAGTAGGTTAACATCCAGATGAACTCGGTAAAATGTGTTTAAAGCATGTTGAGCTCCGTGTTACATTATGGCCTATCACTTCAATCTAAAACAAGGGCTACAGAAACAGAGAACTGACACCCTCCAGAATACAGAGCAACTAGTGTGCAAGCTTGAACATCCCAATTTCCTACAGGGGCACAACCCATCTGCTCCAGCCATTTGTGACACAATACATGGTTCGTTCTTATGCAGGGTTCTTCACTCTTGATGTAGGAAATGCACATTTAGAAATCTAATCCTGCATTGAAATTCCACTGTCTTGATAGGATGAATTAAATCTATCACCTATGCATTCTCTTTCACTGGAACAAAGCATTGCTTGAGTATCCCTGCAGTTACAACATTCTAATGATTCTGAACACATTTGTTTAAAATAAATTCCTCTGAAATGAGCAAGTTCAGGATGATACAGGTCTATATGTTTTCACTGAAAAACATAAAACTTACATCAAGGTAAATATGACCAAGAATTCTTCTTCAATTAGGATTGTGCTATGATTCCTCTTCTCCTTTTAACTCCAACAACCTGTAGGCTCAATAGAGGCAAATGGGAATCATATGCTAAAAATGTATATTAATAGCCATTGATACACATATTGAACCAGATTTATAAGATATATAGGTATCAAAGCTGAGAACATTTATAAACAATGGGAAGTCCCTAAAAATGAAGAACTGGGGAGAGATTTTGTAGAATATTTAGGAAAGCCAAAACTTCCAATTTCAAGGCATCCTTGGTATAGATGATTAAAAGACATACTTTACACAATGGCAAATGCTTTTGTTGCCAATTGGTTTTACAGAAGCATACTTTGTACTTATCAAACACAGGAAATCACTTAAGATGTATAGGGCAACTATAAGAAAGAAAATGTTATGAAAAATTCTGTAAAGAAATCAACTTAAGCAAAAGGTAACGTGAACGTGTGCAAAATATTTGACGTGAGCCATGAATGAGGCAGTCCCTATGTATGTATGGAATCTGATATTTACCTGGAGATGTGCATTTAATTTTCTTCTGTTTTAAGAAGGTTTAAGGTATGAAAGCACATTCAATGCAGTAGCAGAAATCAATGGTTTTTTTAAATTCAGGATCAAATAATTTATTTTCATACAGGCTTTTTCATTTTTAAGTCTTGTATACATCCTGCTCTGGGCTTTGGCTACAGATCTGAAAATCAATCCTTTAAAAATAAATAAAACAAAGCTCACATTCTCTGTTTTTTTGCAGATCTTCCATTCATTTCATGTCATGTAGGACAGGCATAGCTCAGCTTCCTCCTCTATTGTGTTAAATATGTTTTTAATATAATATAATCCTATGAATATTTATCCAAGAGTTTATCCAATTGTATTTAAGGCAGCTTACTTATAGGATATTGTATGCAAGATTGCAATTTAAGTTATAAACCGATGAAAACTGCAATAATCTTCTTATGGAAATAATAATAATAATAATAATAATGATGATGATGATGGCAGCACCAATAACTGTGGTGAAAAACAAAATTATTCTGAGAGTCTGATATCTATACATCTTACCAGAGAATTTCCCCAGATACTTAAGAGCCTATTAAAGAGAAGCTGTAATTGTTGAAGATCGATTTTTAAAATTTGGCTAATTGTTGCTTGTACCACAAGCTTTTTTTTTGTAGAAAAACATGAATACATGTCATTCTTGAGCAGAAAGATTTAGGGGCTAATTCTAAAATTAATAAAAAATATTGGAGCAAATTCTAAAATTAATAAAAATTTCAACACCCGTATTACAAAAATCAATCTCCCTCCAAAAAAGATATTATTTTAAAAATTAGACCTTTAGCTTTATGTAAACATACCTATAGATTGTGTAGAGAGAAAATGCTTCAGTTCATTGAAAAATGAAAAGATCAATAAATATATTCTATACAAATCGGTAACGCTGCAGTTTTCTTCCAGATATGAATTCAAAAATAAGATAAGTATTAAGTTTCAGGAATACAAGCCAATGCATATATGGAATCACACCTGTTCAGATAACATATATAAAAATATTCCCATTCATTTTCTCTGAACATGCACTAGGATGGAGTATATGAAACTCCTTTCCAGCTTGGAGGAGGGTGTCAGATTGACTTTTAAATGAAACGGGTTTATATGTATGTATGTGTATATATATATATATGAGGGTTTAACACAGGGGTGTGTGTTAAATGTTGGGGGTTTTGTGACATCACCAGGTTAAAGTACCCAATCAGCTTGCACTCTGGAGAAAATTATTTAGTGGGGTGTTTCCTATAATATACTGTACTCAAGTCTGTTAAAGAAAGAAGCAGGAAAAAAGGTGGCCATGCCATGGATTTTGTTTGGGGTCTGGGGGGGGACTGAAAGCACTGCCTTTTGCTGTGCAGGAATGATTCTTTGCTCAAAGGCTTGCCTGCTTGTTTTTAAAGATTGGACTGATTAAGCGATGATTTCTTCGGTGCCCCTCCCGGGGAAATTTGATTCCAAGAAGAAAAGATATGAGGAGGAGGAAAAATAATAACCGGAGAGAAGACATTTTTCTCCTTTGGACTTCTCTGGGGATGTTTAGAGAGTGGAGAATAAAGCGCTGGGAAAAGAAAAGGCAGCCCTGGATCCTCAAGAGATGCATTTGAAAGGAAAATTTCTCGCTCAACGATGAGCGCTTGATTTGGGGGAGGGGGGGATAGATGGGAAATGGGAAGAGGTTGGAAGAAGAGCCGCTTCTACTAGCTCCCCACTGGCGGCTTCCCTTTTATTATTGTTTTTATTTTAAACATGTTTCTGACCTGCGGGATGGCTCCAGCCGCGGCTTCCGCCGCCACTTCCATGGATTACAATGGAGATTTCCAAGCGGGTTATCAGGAAATCGACGGCATCAGTTTGGGTTACCTGCAGATTAACGGCACGAGGATGTTTGCTCTGACCCAGGTCTTCAGCGACCTTTTTAAGGACATTCCTCGGGCCGCCGTGAGCAAAAAAATGGAAAGCCTCAAGATCCAGAGTCGCCGGTGCGACTTGAAGGAGCTGCGCACTCTCAAAGCCATCCAGTCGGTGCCAATGCGCGCCGTCAAGTGTTCGCTCATTTCCAAGGCAGACCTGGAGGCCCTCTGCACCTCCTGCAAGGCCTTAACTCCCAGGAGGAGGAAGAGGAAGAGGAAAGTCAAGAGGAGGGAAGCCGAGGTTCTGTTCGAGCGGCCCCGGTTACTCCCGGTGTATGACGAACCCGACCACCACGCCTTTCGTGCCACTTTGGGTGCCGGCTGCGCCAAGCGCGAAGCGCTCTTCGGAGCTCCATTTGCTAGGAGCTACGAGAAACCTGCGCCGCCTTCCAAAAGCTTCAGCCGGAACGGTAGAGCGCACCTCCTGGCCGGCGTCCTCAACGCTTACCCCGGGGACTTGCAATTCCTGCACTCGGCAGTCAGGGCGCACGGAACCGGTCAACCGCCTCGCGAGCCGGAGATCGGGCGCCCTAAGCGCTCCACTTGCGGCTGCCTGGCCAAGAAAGGTCGCTCAGCCTCTACCGCCGGCTCCAAGAGGCAAGGTACGTCGGCTGGCTATTCCAGTGATTCGGATTCCAGCGGCGCGTCAAGCCCGGCAACTTCCAGCGATTCTTCGGAAGATGAGGAGGAGGAGGAGGAAGACGACGATGAAGAGGAGGAGGAGGACGAATCTTCCTGCAGTAGCGAAGACGGCAGCTCCTCCGGGTCAGAAAGTAGTTCTCTATGCAGTGGCGACTCAGTGCAAAGCACGCGGTACAGACAGGCCGCCCTTCCCCGCATCCCTCCCCAAAATGCATCTTCTCAAGTCTTTCCCAGCGTGTCCAAAGCACTGCGTCCCGACCCGAACTTGATCTTTTGGGCCAGGACGTTGCGCGCGTCCACTTTGGAAAGTTTCAAGCCGGTTGCTACCACTACGCCCAAGGAGCTTCAGCAGGACAGATCGGAGGCCCGGCATTCTCGTCCGGTCGGCCCTAGCGAAAGACCGCAGCCAAAGAACGTAGGCGTCAGGGAGGCGTCGGAGTTGGGTGTCCAGGAGGGTGAAGAGGCCGACTTCCTGAGCATTCCCGATGGTGTCCGAGCCGATGAGCAGGATAAAACCGAGAAAGCCGCGCTTCAGCAGATCTCCGAGGAAGGGTCAGGCAGAGGGGCCCATTTCGACCGGCTTATCAGGCAATCGAAACTGTGGTGCTACGCCAAAGGGTTCAACGTGGATGGGAAAGGGTTTCGCAGAGCCGAGCAGGCCAAAGGGTGTTCTCCCACTTCCAAAGCTGGCCTCCTTAGCCTGGCCAACAGACCGCTGAAAGGGAGCAGCGACTCGGAAAGGAGTGCCAGGAGAAGTCGAGTTGACCAGGCCAAAGGGAGGCCCCCCAAGATCCCGAGGAAGAAGACCCCAAAGGGGGGCACCCCGCCTTGCAAGCGCTTGCTCAGTACCAGTCCAGGGCCTGTAAGGAATTCATTTACTTTGATGGGCACTTTTCCATGTACCCCCGCATTAGTCGTGGGTTCCGATGGGGATCTGTGTCCTGCTTCCTCCCTATGCGTCAAAGACTCTTGCACCCTTGCCAAAACGCACCCACTTTGGACCTGGCAGCTGGGGGGCAATGCCATCCCCATGCCTCCCAGCCTGAAATTTGGGGGATATGGTTTTGAAAAAGTCTAGATGGAAGATTTTAAATTAGTTTATGTGCAACAATTTGTCTTTTGTGGAGGGAAGAGTGTGGATGGGAAAGGAAAAATAGAATATATTCTGTAAAGAAAAGGAAACTGATCTTGCAATCTCAAGTACATAAACTTGGAAATAACCTTTTTGGTTTCAGTGGCCTTTAATTCCAAGTCATGTGATAATAGCAATTGATGATGTTTAAACTCATTTGCCCCAAAGTAAGACTAGCTGAAATAGATAAAAATGTTTTTTAAATATAAAAAGTGCAATCAAATATATAATTATTCAGAAGGAATTTTGGGATTTAATTATGTATAAGTGGCTGTAAGTTTGAAGCCTAAAAGTTTTCAAAAGAAGAATGGACTTTTGATTCCCAAATAGCTCAAGTTTTTTTAAAAAACAATCCTGAAAATCCCCATCTCTTGCCATTTCTGACATTCCTTTATTTATGCCATTGGCTTTGTTTTAAAGAGCCCATACAAACAGTAATTCTTAATAAAATTGCACACCTTTGAAACTATAAAAAATTAAATCTTACTTGACAATGATTATAGGGAGCCAAAATAAATGATTAAAAAGAAATGTTGACAGTAAGAGAAAGTAACTTGAAAATAAAGTTGAGTATAAATATCTAACTTCTATGCTTTAGTTGGGGATACAGTGTTTTTGTTCATGTTGCACATTTATATTATAGGAGTTGCAATAACAATAATTAAAAAAAAGATACAGGCTTTTTGGAGAAAATCTGGTCTCCTTTCCTTTTAACATGCAGTGGTTTGTTCCAGGCTGCGAAATTGGGAAAAGCTGTGGGGGTGTGTTGTAGGGAATGAGAAAGTTTCTGGACAAGGCTCCCCTCCCCTCTCCAACTGAAAGACCCTTCTCTTCTCCCCCTCCCCCATTAGCAAAGTTAAAAGTATGCTCTCTTCCCAGCCCCCAACTTTCTTCCTTAATTTGGAAGAGAAATGGAATGGCCTTTCAACTGCAGCACATTAAACTCATCAAAGGATCACTCCCCTCCCCATTCCATTCACTTCCTGATTAAAACTTAAGCAAAGCCAATCTGACTACTTTATCCCCAATACCAGAACTTTGAGAAGAAGAAAGAAAAGTCTTCTTTTCTTCTTCTTTTTCAATAAAGAAAAATTATTTTAAACAAAAGTAGAAGCAAAAACTCCTTATCTTTCCTGCATGAAGGGGAAAAAAGTTGTTTACATTTTTGCATCTTTTCAAGCAATTTTTTTTGGTTAATAGATCCCTGACATTAGTAGCCCAAAGTAATATTCTGTTTATTTAAACATTTGCTGGAAAGAATAAATTGGATCCAGGGGTAAATTTGAATGAAACACAGATGGACAATTTGATCTCCAAAGTGAAATGTAGAAAAGAGGAATTCTTTTGTCTTTGCCAGAGAAAACAAGTGACCCCTTTCTCTCATGCAAATAGTTCTTTATTGTTTCATGTGTAATATACCCCTTTGTCTTCCAAGATTTCTCTGTGTCACCAAACTCAAATTTAAATTGCAATCTCCATCTCTGAGAGTAGAAAACCTCTATGACTGTAAGGTATAATATATATATATCTTCAGTTTCAAAATCTTATCTCAGGGAAGAAAGAGTACAGTTGCCCCTAAACAGATCTGGCCTTGCTACACAATCCATAAATACCACAAGCAAAATAAAAGTTTATAAGTGCAAAACAAATTTAATCAGGAGGTAAGTCCTTCTGGAATTACTGGACCTTAAACCCCTAAGTCTACATGATTTTATCTATAAGTAAGCTATGCATCAACTGACTTTATTCTCAACTGTGCAGTCAAACAGTTACATATTTTGGAAATATATACCAATATTTGTCTACATCTATTATTAAAATATGCTTTCCCGAAGAAGGGGACAAAATCTTATTGGGGATGGCTGGTTGAAATGAATTGATTGAAATGCCAGATTTTATCTAGAAAGAAATTCCAGCACTTTGAATTTTACAAATTGATTTCTAAGTGCAACAATAAAACAAACCAAATATGGAATGTATAGAAAATGTGTATGATTTTTTAAAAAAAGACTCATCATAATAACAAAAATCCCACACTGCAATTTCTGCTATTCCCCATTTTGGTTAATTACACGGTATTTAAATTTTGCATATAAATTATACTTTTTTTAAAAAAAAGGTTGTGGTTATACTGAATTCTCTTTTACATGGGAGTAAGAAGGATTGATCTCAACAGAATCTTATTTCTAAATAAACCTTTTTAGGATTATTGGGTTAGTTTTGTTCACCTTATAAGCCTGCATTTTTGTTAAGTGGGAGATGTTTTATTGTCAAAATTGTTCTCAGTGAAGAAAGGGAGATATTCTGGGTTTTTCTCTCTCCAAAAATCTGGGCAATGCAGTGTCCTTATGTAGTTCCCATTCATTGTGTTTATGCAGAAGAGCTGTCCATTGAATTGTGTGAGTCCCAAATATTTGAAAGCAACAAAGAAAGAATGAGAAAACCTGGTTGTTCCTGGGGGCATTACATAACTTAAGGCTTTGTGTGAAAGAGCTGAATTAAGAATTTCCTGGCTGGCAGCTCTCTCCCACCCTCCCTCCTACCCTCTTTCTCCCCCCTCTCTTCCCCCAGTTTTGAGCATTTATTTGGTACGAATTAGTTTTCCTAAAATATACCAAGAATATAGAATGACAAAAATAAGAATATGAGAGTTTTCGGGGTGGGGGTGGGGGAATCTAGATCATTGTCTTTGGAATTCTTTCATGATGGATTAGAAAAGCGACCAAGGAAGAATATGAAAGAAAGCAAAGGAGAAAGGAATATTTTTTGTACAGTTGTCTTCACCTGCAAAATTGGTGTTCAAAATAGGAGTTCAGTTTTGCTTAGGATAAAGGAGGGAGTCCCTGTGTTTGCCAGGCAGGATGCAGCATTAGTTGCAGGGCTGACTATTCAAAGGAATGTGGAATTCGATGGAAGCCAAATATTGACATACCTCTTCAGTTTCTCTCCTGAACTTCTCACTGATCTTTGCCTATAGGAGCCATGCAAATAAAGAGAAAAAAAGAGATCTAAAATAATATATGAAGAATTGGTTAAAATGGGGAAAGGAGGCTGCTTCCAATCTTATATTTGCACCATTTCTGTATTCCTGAATAAGTCTGAAGGACCCATCTGTTGTAGGGTATTGCTGCTGAAGAGAGGTGTGGATATGTGGGTGTGAGTGTGTATGAGACAGAAAGAGAAATTGCACCCCCATGGTGCAAGGCATACTTGTTCCCTCTCCAATACAACCAAGCTTGAATTGCTTTTCTGCAGACAGTACTGTGTTATATAAACTGCTTTCTGGTTCTTTGGATCAGAGTTTAGTTGCAATGTTGATCACCCCATAAAATAAACTTACCATCCTTATTAAAATATTAGAAAAGTAATAAGTAAAAAAGAGGCAAGGACACTTGGCATGGGGAAAAAATCAATCTATATATTAAGCTAAAATAATATCTATTTCTCAGTCAACCTATTCAGCTTCCCACATCCATTCTATTCTATGTAAAAGCTACTATCATGTTCTGTCAGATAAACCTAGCAAATGATTTGAAGCTGAATTGTTCCCAGTTATTTCAGTAGAGATCCTTCCCTTTTGTGCTGAAATGCTGATACTAGTTCATAGTTCTTAAAAATGAAAATGCCCCTTAAGACATGCAAACACGATGTAGTGGTATTCACACTTGTTTGTACATGTCAGGCAGAACTCTCTATGTCACAAATACAAATACTAGGAATAGAAAAATCATGGTATACGTATGAATGTGAAAAATACATTTTCAAACAATGAAAATAATATTGAAATTGCACACTCAGGTGAGTTAGTCTGATTGAATCTGGGGTCTGATCTTACATGCTTCAGAATTGTTATACTGGTTTTTAAGTACTTTATGAGAAACCTTTGTTGATTACAGAATAGGATAGTCTAACTCTAAATATTGTGGATGTATATGTCTTGTTGCTTATGTGGTTTACAGTACATGTATAGGGCTGCACCTATGCATTGTCAGAAAAGAAACAATTACATAGATACCTAAACACAAACAATATTGTACAATTAAATGATTCTTCTACTCAAATGTGTGCAAGGACAGGTTTTACAGGTAATCAAGTTCTGTATTTTGAGTGGAATGGAGCTGCTTTATGTGTGAGATTTGTGTGGGTGTAGGTGTATAAATCATTGTGCTGTATCAGCTTAGACTGCATTCACAATGGATGTTCAGAGCATCAATAGGAACATTTTCACACATGACACAGAATGTACATTTGATCTTGTAAGTAAATGCAAATATAATCCCACATTTCTTAACATGCATCGTGGGTTTAATCTGGTTCTGTTTTTCTATTTTACCTTCACAGCATTCACATATATTACAAGGGAGGCTCGGGGGAACTTCAGAGTTGTGTATGAAAATCCTTTGTCTCTAATGTCATGTTTTGATACTGCATTCAAAATACTCAGGGCTACTCAGTGAATTATTGGCATGTTTTTCAAAATTTTCTGGGATAGTCAAATTCAATTGATCTTAAGAAAACTACAACAACTAGATTTTGATCTCCTTGCATGATACTTTAGATCAGTCATCTCTACAGCAATGACAGTTTTTCTACAAATTGATACCATTTATGGTATAGTAAAAGTGATTTATAACATTTTATGAAATCACATTCCCTTGTGTGCATGTGTAAATACTATGCATTTTTTCATAGAATGTGAAGAATATATTTTCCAATCAGTTGTACATTCAAGCCAGTAGGCACTCACAATTACAACAGAAATATAAAGTTTCAAAACTTTTAATATCATGCATGTAAACACTTCTTTATAGAGATACAGGGAATTTTGTCAAATTAAACTTTAAAGCTTATTTTCAAAAGTAGACATTAGTGTGATTCCCATGCAATGTTCTGCTAAAATACTGTTAGTTAGTTTTGGGTTTAGAGTTCTATATGAAGCCATACACAACAGCTTATAACATTATCTGCAAGCCAAGAACCCACACAGATAGATCTGCAAATCCTGATTCAGTGTTAGGTGTGATTTTAGCTATACTGTTACGTTTATTTCAGGCACATAGATCTGAAAAAGAAGCACTATCTAGAGAGGCATTAAAAGTTAGATTTAAATTAGCCAGGCAAAGCTACAATCACACCATATTCAATACCATGGAGTAAAAGATCAGCCTTGCCTTGATCTGAGCTTGATTCCTAGTGACATATTGGATATACAGAAGTGATTTAACATTTCCTTCTTCTAGAGACTTCTTTTTAAAGAAAAGAATATTCTAGTTTATCTTATAGATCAGGTTCCAAAGGTTTAGTTTGAAAGGCTTATTTCCTTTAGATCAGTCTGGAAACTTGGAAAAGTCAATTATCAATCTTGTTCAACTAAATGAGTTGAAAGTAAGGATATATTTTGTGTTGGATAGTGCAACTTGATGGATGTAAACATGGATAATTAGGGGCCCCTCTTGCTGAAAATTCCAAAGTTGCATTGTTGGATAGGATTTTTTTTAATTCCAGGAAATAAATATATTTCAAAGAGAAGGTCTGGAGTTCAAAGGAATATTTTCAAATCATCTTGCATGATTCTGAGTGGCTGTGATATGCACTGACTTGCTGCTCTCAGTGAAACATTTCTAAAAACGTGATTGAATGCCATCTTAAATTTGAATATACTGTTTGGTTTCTTCCAAACTGCTGGCAATATGGCCTTAGGTTTTTACTGGAAAATATGCCTCTTATTTTTAAGTAAAGCTTTATTAAGCAAGATTAACAAATGAAACTATTGGATGGTCAATACCTACATTGTTGAAATATTGTGGAAAATGATATGCATCCAACAAACCTTAGATTACAAAGCTGTAATCCTATGAGAAATTTCTTTCTATCCTTATGTATCCTTTCTACCATAAAAAATAATCATATGCAGATAGTAAGGAACCTGATATTTGGCTGTGATTAACATAAACTGACAAAGGGAAAACATGTTTTTCAGATAAAAAAGGGGGAAGCATTGTTAATAATTCAGGCCACACATTTCCAGCAAGGAGTTCTTTAGTTTAAGATGAACTTTTTCCACAGTGCAAGTCATAGGGTAGATTTCTCATGATGTTTGGACCCAAGTACAGTAAATACAAGTTCCTCTTGGGACAAGCCCACTCCATGTCATAGATCCTTCTAGAGGATTCACATTGGGCCATAATGGGGGTATCCCAAATGGACACAAGAATGGGTTTGGGGGAAGAATTGGTAGTATTGCTGAGCCAGCCAACCTTTTATAATAGAAAACTATCTCTATAAAAGGAAGAGGAAAACAACTACTTTTTGTAAAGTTCTTTTAGACTGTTAAAAACTCTAGTTTGGGGGGTTTCTTTTCCAGAGATTGTTTCATTGCAGAGGAAACGTTCCAAATAGTTTTGATTAGAAGATTTGCACACATCTTTTCCAGTTGCTTTTACATAGCTGGCTAGATAGGATGAGGTAAAAGAAACTTCTGTTTTCATTTAAATCATTTGAAGCCACTCAAGAAAAAGATGGGAAAATAAACTTGAAGGAAGCTTATAAGAATGTGGAAGGCAGGGAGGTGAGGTTGAGTGGTTAGGCGGAAGAGGAAGCATACATCTTCATAGCAAGTCCCCCTTTCTCCTCTGAAATTCAAATGTAAAGATATTTACATTTCTCCATGTCTTAAGAAAGGAAATGATCAGTACTACAAATAACATCCTGTGAATTGCTTTGCTAGTTGGTTGTCTCTGAATTTGAAACAATTTACATTGATGGGTAGAACTTTCATTGGAAAGTTCCCAAACACAATTCTCTGACTCCTATGAACTAGAAACAGGTAAATTTTAAGAAAGG